ATCCCTAATCTCCGATTACTACTGGTAAGTAATTCTCTTTACTGTCTGCCATACAATTCTTTTTTATGTTGGTATGGAGAATTTGTTGGTGGATCAATTAATAATCCCCTAGCTAATTGATATCACTCTCATCACTTGTCTGCTTGGTATTGCTTTGATATTGTAAGGAGAAATTCTGTCTTGGTCACTTGTGGGAGTTGAAGAGTTAATTTGAAGGTCTAGAAATTTTTGTAATGAATTATTATTTTTGATGGAAAATCCTTTATACAAATAGGCTAGATTGGTATCCTCCATTCTCTTTCTCAATAAGAATTCTATAACTCCGCAGTGGTTAAAATTAGGTACCAGTTACATAAGGGAGTTCTAAAACTTCAAGTTACCGAGCCAAAACAAATATTATGTCAAAACATTTAGTAGTAGCCTGAGAGGATAAAGTAATCAACCTGAGGAGATCAATTTTCTGCTTTCAAGCCTGGCTGTTAGGAACATCTGTCAGTTGATTCAAATCTATTGCAATGAGGCTCACAAGTACCTTGAAAGTTACAAAGATATATTTTGTAGTACCTGAATCCTAGTCCTTTCGAAACAAATGTTAGCAAATTCTGTCTGACAGTTATTTGATACTACTACTACTGGAATGATATTCCTACATCTAAACAGAGAGGCCGACAAGAAAACTATTTATAAGAGCACTTTTCATATATTAGTTTTCTCCACATTAATTTCTGCATTACTTTGGCCTTGCACTATCCATTATACTTTGTTTAAAGTGTTATTCCTCTTTTCCTTTCAAATATTTGTATTGTTTTGTTTTACTTTATGGAAAATGTACCTTCATATGACTTGAAAGGCACTTAATTAGCTTAACTACAATGTAAATAGTGCCCTTCTCTGTTTCTTTCCCTTTTTAATCATTTAAAAAGTTTGAAATGTTGAAATAAAGGAAAAATTATTTCAGAGTTATAGAGTATCATTTAGAGGTTCCATCAAACACTTAAAACAAAAAAACGATCATGGAATTTTAAAGGAAAAAATGAAATGGGATGGGCTGTTGGCTTGATTTATGCAAGAAGACTAAATATTCATGAATATAGCACATTTTCTGAATAGGAAAAAAATACTAGAATTTGGGCATCCATTCCTGGCTAATGTATTAACCACTTAGCTTTGTAATTGACAATAATGGTGATAGGGCAACAGAGCCTTAGAATGAATTGATACCCCAATTTGTGGTCACCGCATCAGAAAAAGAGAAAATAATATTGAATAGGGAAAAAAGCTGGACGAACAACGAATTATTCATTTTCCAGAGATGAGATAGAAAATGTAGGCAGGGGGTGATAGGCAAATAAAAAATTTAAAACACTCATCAGGTTGAAGACCAAACATGAACGAGAATAAAAGAACTTTATCAGAATGTTGGTCGTGTCATTGTAAACGACACAAGTGAAATCAACCTACAACTGAGATTTTTTCGGAATTGTTTATTTTCTCTTTAGGGTTCATAAGTTATCGGATAATCGATCATCAAACTTAAAATCTACCAAATTTTTTTCCGATATGAAACGCTTACGAATTTACATGAAAGTCGCGCGCTATATTTAATTTGGGATACTACGAATCACGCGATTGCTACTCGACGCTGAGAGGTCGACAAGAAACCTCTTACGTAGCACCGCACCCAATTATTGAAAAAATTATAGCCTTAAACGATAACATGTAAATAAATATTGGCACGAAATGATTCTGAGCACATGTATTTTACTGCACGCGTCGTTGAGAATATTAGCAGTTGACATATGATATTAGGCAGGAGCGACGTAATATTCACCGTGCGAGTTCGTGGTAATCGACGATCTGTTTGGTTTTATTTAAGTCGGTCAGCTGGCAAACAATGTTGTAACAGAAGGCAAATAAGTGAATCGCTTCAGATATCAAGCTTAAAACCATCAAATTACTTCTGAGTAGCGTATAATTTGAGTGTGGCGATGTCACGTCTTGTTTTGGAACAAAACTGTGTCACGCTACGAAGATCAAAGAACAAAAACATGACGAACGTTTCCAAGACGAAAAACTATCTATTATGTTTTCTTTTTTTGATGTAAGTGTGAAACTCCTTGTTTCCTGTTAACAAGCAGGCTCAATTTGTCTACTGTACTTCCTGACTCAGTTAATGTTACTCGAAAAAATTACACCTACCAAACATCGGCCCTTGAAGGTCTGTGCTGTTATCAGTGTACCGGCTTGTTCCTTAAGTTTGACATAAATCCCTCGTTTCTGCACTTCCGGTGCGACGTGCGACCGATTAATCCGCTGCTTGTTGGCATCCTTTTTAGTTGGGTTTAACCTGCTCTGTTTTGAGTTGCATATTTTAATAAACAGCCTTGAAGCTAATATGACCAACAATCCCCCAAAGAAAATTGCGCCGCTTGTTGCGATAAAGTACCACCACTTTCTATCTTCTTTGACGATCAAGCAGTGGAAGTCACAGCTCTCAGATAGCGCTGCTAAGGTACACGTTTTAACCATGGTGATCCAGCGCAGAAATATCCCATTTATTCTTTTGACGAGCCATTAACGTGTACAACTGTAATCCTCGAAGTTCTTCAAGATTCAGACTGATGGAGTCGAATCACCGGTTCAGCTAGGTACGATTAGCATGTAATGAGAATTTCAAATAAATGCCTATTCAAATAAAAAAAAATCCAATCAACAAATTGCGACTTAAGCTCAAAAAATATTTCTGTGAATTATTTCATGATTATTTCATATTCTATTTCACTGCTTTCTGCATAAAATAACTTACAAAATGTATTCAGCTGAAATACAAAATCCAGTTAGGGACGGAAGCTTGTTGATCTAAAAGTTAATTCTCCTAGAGTAACGTCCAGATGTGTAAACCAATTACAAATGCTTAGCAACTGTGTTGTTTCGTTTGAATATTTACCCACTTTGTAAACATTCGCTGTAGGAATTAGTTTTTCCTTCAAATTGAAAAATTCAAATAAATGTTGGATTCATTCATTTGTATTGAATAATAGAATACAATAAGCGGTAGTTTCACCTTTCATAACTTTGCTGTGTTTTTTATCGGAATTAAAAAAAAACATCTTCTAAACGTTCAGAAAAATTTACGAGGTGGATAATTTGTTATGATTCGGAAAAGGTCACATAGTGCTTAAAGTGTCATCAAAAAAGCTACAGGAAACATATTTCAAGGGAAATATAAAGAATAAAGCCTTGTTTGTATGCAGAGATCTTAATGCCAAAGGTATTAAAAGAAATCAGCTTTCTACTGAAACTCATCAAAAATTTAAATCACCATATGAAAACAGATATTGACTGGAAACTGAAAATTGCCCTTGAGAATGTAATTTTACTGAATCTATCATTGGAAGATTTGATGTCATTCAGAAAATCCAGGCTGAATGCACCGAAGTGTCCTATTGTCGAAGTCAACGGTTTGCGGCAAGCTCTCTCAAGCGTCAAGGCAGGGGAAATTGTGAAGAGTACTTGTCATGCAATCCTCTAGGCTAAGACTTACTTATTGTAAAATAAAAATAGTCCGAAATAGAGAGTCAACAATTTTAATTGTGACTCGTGTTAAACAAACTGAAAGGTGGTAATAGTTCCAGCTGCTGTTACGAGAAAGGAAAGCTGTTCCCACCCCCGTGTTATTACTTATTCTGTCAGGCGCACTAACACTATAAGTGTCAAAAGAGAAAATTATCCTGAGAACGAATAAATTTTGACCCCAACAAACAGTTTGTCAGCACTTCTTTTCAAGAGACGCTTCTCCTGCTCTATAGCTAGCACCTTTGAATAGAGGTCATCGTAACGTTATGAGTAAAAAGGTGGGTGCGCAGATAACGGAAGTTGTCAGCAAGTTATTTCCCTGACCAGAATACAAAACACAGAATACATTGCTTTGGTTAAGAATAAATAATATATCTGATAGAAAATTATACAGGCTTTTAGTATACTTTGCATTCGAACACTGTCCTAGCCCAAATGAATAACAACACACATCTCCAACCCCCTCCCTTTCTTTTCTCCTTCTCAAGACCTCTCTTACAATGGCAGACACCATTACCATTTTTCATTTTGGTTGTATGCTTTAGGCCTTTCTTGATATAATCTTTGTTGTTTCAATACAGGTCATCAAGGATTTGAAATCATAAGTTTGATTCACACCACATTTGCACAATAAGTCCAGTATTACCACTTTAATTATCATGTCAACTTTAAAATTGCAAATTAAATGGTCTAAATACTATAGTTATTTAGATTTGGGGACAAAATTCACCACACAATGGCTTCTTTGCCTTCATTTCCCTGCAACTTGATTGTTTGAATAAGGCTAAAAATTTGATAGAATGTTTCATTCCAGTGTTGCTTTCTCACAGGCATAGAGACTTGTGAATAAACTAGGTTGTAACTATCACCTGCATTACCAAAACAGATGTGTTAAAAATGAATGAGTAGCTTGTAATTCATGTCCCAAGCTTAAGCAGAAGAGGGCAGACAGGGCTGTTTTGAAGTGAGACTTCTAACCCTTTACACCCTAACACAAGTATGCACATTCTCTACACATTTCCAAAGTTGCTGAAAAGGAGAATTTATTCTACAATCAAGAGATTAATGTCTAATTTGTAGGTGATGCAGTAAGGAGAAATTAGATGCCAGTCACTCTTTTAGGGGTTCAACTCTTTAACTCCCAAGATCTGATTGTTGATTCACCCCTCTTGCTGCTCAACATTTCTTTGCAAATTAGTCACAAGAATTTCATGTTAGATTAGAATAACTTTGAACTGACAAGTTTTAGTTATGACCTGCTTGTTGGAAAGGTGAGGATATTACAGCGAGAAGTTACATGTTAATAACTACTGAAAGTTGAGTTGAACCCTATGCAATTACTGTTACAAATGCCAAAAGGACATACCTTCCCCCCATTAAGTATCATTCCACAAGATGTAATATCCAATCAAATCACAAGAGAATAACAGTTCACAACTACATTTATTGATGTTTTGCTAAGTGAAATTAAAGTAACAAATGTCGAGAAATTCAACTTTATTGATGTAAAAGGACTGGATTATCTCAGTATCTGTAGAAAGAGGCTGGTCATGCAACTCCTACCAACAAACTCATACTTAGTATGAGAACCAGCTTTTACAATGTTTCTCTTCACTAGAAAAGCACACATCAGAAAAATGATACAAAAACACTCAAAAAAACTACAGGTTGAACTTAGAAAAGCTTGCCACTGGTTAAAAAGTGAAGAGTGATTTATTCAAACTCACGATTACACAATTGTACATTGAGCATATAAATACAAACAAAGCGTAACATCCTTTTAATGGTTAATAGTTGAGATGTAGGCAGAGCTTTACTTTGCAACGAAGTGTATAGGCAATGTTATGGTTCCAATGAAACTGTACAGAGAATATGGAGTAAAAAGAAACTGAGAAATTAAACTTATGTTGGTTTGTTGGCACCCTTCTTGCCAATTAAACTCTTGTGAATGTGAGGGATAACACCTGCAAACAAGAGAAAACAAAACTTTAAAAAACAATTTACTATTTAGTTCAACTTTTAATGCAGTAACAAGAAAGTTTCTTTGGGAAAGCTAAAACCCTGGCCTATACTTAAGATTTCCAGGTCTTCTACAGGATTCAGTTCAAATGTTTATGAACATAGCAATTTCCTACATATACCACGCAGTCATGGTGAGTAATCCTCCACCAACTCCACCTAGAAAACAAATTCTTATGCGAAAAAAACAGCCTGCTATGTACCACAGTTTCACTCCGAGTGAAAAGATTCTTTTGTCCATTTCTTGGAAGCACCTTCCAATGCAAATTGTGGTTGAAAGTCTTAAGGAAATTTTTGCATATTCTGTTGTAAATCTTACAGTATAATCCAAAATCAAATATCAGTTTTAAGCACGTAAAATGAAGTTGTAAGGGGAGAAATCAAGTTTTCACCAAAAAAAAAAAATCAGAGAGATACAAAAGAACTCAAGACAAGCAAATTTGATGAACTTAGATTCATTGTTTCCAGTAGGAAGTAAAACCGTTGCAGTAAATGTAGCTGCAACATCAACTAGTCGATGTTCGCCAACTGGAACAAGAGAATACTGCCTGAAGAGTTAATTTATGTACAGCATGCATTAGAAAACAAGTTAGCTTACCTCCACCGGCGATGGTTGCTTTGATTAGAGAGTCGAGTTCTTCGTCTCCGCGAATGGCAAGTTGAAGATGGCGGGGAGTGATACGTTTCACTTTTAAATCCTTAGAAGCATTTCCAGCCAACTCAAGGACCTAATATACAAAGATCGGTTGAAATCAGGCACTTGTCACATGTAAACTCGATGCAAAATCGAAAGATTCTTTGCAAAAATATTGCTTTGTCATGTTGAAAAATCACGAAGACAGCACACGCAAAATCAACAAATAAATTTTCTACATTTGAGCAAAATTTTATCATTTGTTCAAACAATTCGAGCATTAGAGCACTTGAAAGCGAAAAGAAGCGTGGAATTACGCTTGAAATCTTCCGATCAAGCTATATTTTCATTCATTGTATAATTCAAATACGGCGGGAACTGTCGTTACTAGCGTAACAACAGTTCATTTGACTGCTTTCTTCCTTCAAATATTCACGACTCAGTCGCACAGCAATGAAATTGGACTGGAATTATCCGGACCACACAGAGAAACGAAGCAAATAATGAAAAAATCGAGCAGTTTAATGATGAGGATTATTATACCTCAAATCAATATTCACAACATACAACCGCCCAAATGTAACACTGGCTTTCGCTTCCGAGACTATTTCGACAACTGAAAGAGCGCTGTTGGCCCTCAAATGAGCGAATAATTTTTCTTAACAGTAGAGCTAATGTGCTATCTCACCTCTGCCGTTAAATACTCCAGAATAGCGGCACTGTAAACAGCGGCTGTTGCTCCAACACGTCCATGACTGGTCGTTCGGTTCTTCAAATGTCTGTGAATACGACCTACAGGGAACTGTCCAAAACGAAGAGCGTAAGGTATAAGCCCAACACATTTAAGGTTCAAGCAAAAACCTTGCAGCATTTTCTCTCTTTGAAAACGACTACTTACCTGAAGTCCGGCCCTTGCTGAACGAGAAACTGCCTTGGCCTTTGCCTTGGAATCTTTTCCTGCTTTTCCACCAGCCTGAAAGCCAAATAGGGAAAGATTTGCAGTGAAAAATATGACTCGCAAGAGACAGTGTCCGCAGAAATCTTCTTTAAGTTGAAACTTCAAGAAATGATGCACATTTTGGCTCATAAAATAGACCGAAAGTTCTTCGCAAAAAGCGGATGGAAATGGATTCACAACGTTCACGACTCACCATATCGATTCTCCAAGATTATGTGACGCGCTAACAAACGACTACTGCAAAGCGCCAAATTTTGCCCGTCAATTTGAAAGTAGAAGAGCCAATCAGAGACCAGCTTTTGAACAACAACCAATCACG